ATAGTCAATTCTAATGTCTAACACGTAATGTGGAGAAAGAGATGTCCTGTCTGGGTTGATTGTGCGTTGATCTGTTGGTAATGCCTCGGGGTTCCGGTGTGCATGTAAACAAATGCATAATGCTGCGCTATACTTTGTGGCCTCACCCGGTTGCATAGCGACACTTATTGTTTATGTGTCTTTTAATAAGCAGGTAGTCATATCATTAGCTAGAACTAGCTGGATCTGATCGATATGGACATAACCGCGAGTGAAGTCTAATCTGACGGGAGAGAGAGATCAGCTGCTGCTGACGAGTCGACACGCAGATCTGCATGATCACATGCAGCGGTGAGCAGAACAACACACACTTCAGGTTAGAATATCACACGTAGCTATTTTAATTACCTCTCAAACTACCGTAACTAGTTATAGATATGTTTAGTTTTACTGTCGGGTCACTCATTACTGGATCCGCGAGCTGCATGAACGCTCGGTCTGTTTTTTGTGTGTAAGTCCAATCTTATAGTGTCGCGATAAAACTTAATGCGATAGGGTTTTGATGGATTTGATCAATATTCTAGATGACATAATCAAAAATGACAAGGCCCAGTGTGGGAGTAATGATCTAGCGTGTAATGACTCCTGTTTAGTCAAAACGGGCTAGCCGTTAGGCGTCGTCACGTCCGAAGTAACGGGGCTTGAGTCCCCCGTGGTCCGTCCACTTCCGAAGTAACGGGCCTAGCCGTGGTCGTCCACTCCGGGGGGAAGTAGACCGGGCTAGCCGTGGGTCGGTCCACTCCGAAAGTAACGGGCTCCGATTTATGATCTACCCGGGCCCGGGTAGGCCCGTCAGGGGAATTACAGCTCCGGGACTTGTAGTAATGTAACTGAATTTGATAGTTTAGTAGGGGCTCCAGCGAAAGTCTTAACTTTTATGAGTACTAACATCAAATTCATTGACATTAGCTACAAGTCCCGTAGCTGAATCCGACGGGCTACCGGGCCCGGTTAGGATTCATTTGTTTTAAATACGAGCCCGTTACTTTGCCGGAGGGTCGGACGACAACGGCTAGCCCGTTACTTCGGAGTGGACCCGACCAACCGGCTAGCCCCGTTACTTCGCGAGGTGGACGACCAACGCGGCTAGACCCGTACTTCGGAGGGACGCCAACGGGCTAGCCCGGTTNTTTTTATTTTGTTCCCCTTTCTGTGACATGTCTCCATGCTTTAATGTTCAAAAAGCTCTTTATTTTTCTCATACTGCCTGTGCTGCAGCACCTCTTTTATTAAAAGAGGTGCTGCAGCACAGGCAGTATGAGAAAAATAAAGAGCTTTTTGAACATTAAAGCATGGAGACATGTCACAGAAAGGGGAACAAAATAAAAATATGAACCTGAAAATGATCATAATATGTCCTTTTTAATATTATATCAGTCCACACTCTGATTTGACTTGAACTGGAGACAAATAAATAGCACCTTACACTAAAAAATATCCAAACTATACAACATTTAATGTTAAATGAAGCTCGGTCACAGTACAGATTATGTTAATTATGATATAAAGTAATCTTCTGATTTGCCTCCGTAGCTTTTTTGGACACTTCAGCCACCGTTCTGAATGGCAGCTCATCAAGATAGACTACAAGTCCATCTTCAGCAGGCAATGTACAGAGGAAGACTATCAAACCTGGCACCTGCACAATGAGGTAAGAAACATACCAACATTACACTTGAAATTGTACGTCATAAAAGGACATTTCAGTCACAGTTGTTGTGCTTCTTGTGCCGACAGGGCGAGCCATGCGTGATGGGACAGAAACAGATTTACATGAAGCGCAGGCCTGGGAACTACTGCATGCTGGGAAAGGACTACTCAAGAATCCTCTCAGCAGAGTCCTGTATTTGTCGCGCTCATGATTTTGAATGGTAAGACGATGCAGGCCTTTGTACACTAGCTCCTTTCTTCATAATCGTCGAGGGGGATTATATTTCTCTCTATTGTTTGCTTACGTAGAGCTTCATCAACATCAATGTTTTTTTCCCAACCCTGCAACACACAAAGTGTTGTTTCATGCTTCTTTGTTGAATTGGTTAGTCATTTCATTATTTTCTATTAGGCTGCTGTCAAATTGGAATGTTGTTAAATGTCTGTCCTTGTTTCAGCCAACCAACAGGTCTTTTATTCAAAAGTAAAATTAAAAAAAACAGCTACCCTTCAGCAGCCATTTGTTATGCTCAAGTACATCCACCTAGCCACTATTGGATACCCTCTTCAGTCAACAAAATGTGCTCTTTCTGTTGATCTAAGTACCTTAGAACACACTGATGTTTTTTAGCCTCACTTTTACATAAATGTGTCCTTTTTATTAATGGTTATCCAATAATTATTGCTGTAAATTGATTAAAAGATGAAATTGCTTTAATCACAAAAATAAACTGTCAGTTTAAATTACTAGTATTTACCTGTATTTTACTGCAAATGTGCATAATATTTCCTCTTTAATAGCTCTTGTAAAAGTACTGCAGGTGTATTTCTTAAGCAGAGCATTGGACTGTGTTGATTCCAAGGTAAAATACATTTAAAAAACAATAAGACAGGTGTCACGTCTTTTGTAATCAGAAAATAAACATTGCATCAAGTGAAGCATGCAACCTTGGGGGGCAAGGAGGAGTTCTATACAAACGCCATTTCTACTTTTCATCGAGGCCAATTTCTAAGCCATTTAGTTGTAATCCATTGCATATGCTATTCATGTGTCTCATTAATTTACTCCATTTGCTGTGTGTTTTCCAATAATCTGATAAGTTTGGGATGGTTTTGCACAATTTGCTCGTACTGTCTGTCTCTGTGAGCTCGCTATGCTTGTAATTAGGTTGAGATGATAGCGTGGGTGTAAATACTCAATTCAATTTGTATGCAAATCGTAAACGGTTGTAATTTTTATCTTGTAATGACAGAAAAACAAAAAAGAAGGCATCCAAACATACAGCAGTTAGTGTTTGTAGTATGCCAAATGCTTCCAAATGAACAAAAGCTAGTTTTATTTTCGGTGTGTGACTAAGTCTGATTTGGTCCCTGTATACTTCTGCTGGGAATTATTTGACGCATGCTTAAAATTCAAAAATGAGGATTTTATAAACCATCAGTGCCAAAAAGAGCTTGAATCCTTTAACATAATTTGAGGTGTGAAGAGTCTGCCACATAATCAGCTAAAGTAGATACTCATTAGCTCCATATGAAATAATGGTGCTATGTAAGACAGAGAGCCACCGGCAAATAGCACAATTATATCATTTTCTGCAGTACAAGAGGCTGATTCACCAAAGATTAAAGCAGGCTTTTAAACCTCTATACTTTTTGAATACTAATCATAATATAGCACAGTGTAAATGTTATTTGATATTCTACACCAGTAGCATATTCCGGTGTGTTATTCTAGTGGGTGTTCATGTATAAAATCATAAAACTATTTATAATCTATTATTTTATTAGTGGCATTTTAAGTTAACATTTCTACTTTCCAAGAGTTTAATGTAAAATGGATTTCATTCTAGTGGCCATGTCCCTTGGTCCACATGCATATTACCAGAGTGTGAATCAGGCTGTGGACCATTTGTCGCATGTTCTTCTCCAAACATAAACTTAAATATCATGTAAAAATATGTCCAATGACCCTTTTTCCCCACATCACCCACATTTCGGCACACATGTCTGCACAGCCCTCCACATAATACACTTTAGTTTGCAATATATTGTAATATAGTCATTGTGCTAAGTGGTTTAGTTTTTTAGCTTTTAAAGTTATTTTATATATTTTAATTTGGTGTCAATACTTGTCTTTAATCTATTTTAATGCTAAATAGTTTCTTAAAAATACTATAGAATATCATTATATGTTTTACCTACTATTGGAACCTTTTTTCTTAGATGTTATGTTTACACCACCAGACACCAAAGCAAATTCCTGGTATGTGTAAACTCTATTCTGATATTGCAAGATGCAGTGAATAGCACATGTAGCCAATCCCAACCTCATGCCATGCTATACATTGACTGTTTTTACCCAGATCACCCTTTAACCTCTAAGGCCATGTACACCTACACAGCCAATCAGCCTTGCCAGCTTGCTAATGAGAAGTTCACACTGTCGTAATCACAGACAAACTAGACTAGTCAGCCAATGGCTTTTGATTTGTTTATTTCTTCTGGCTTGGTAATTAATTGATTAATCAATGTCACAGCCATTATTAGAACGGACAATTGCTTACCTTGCTTTGTTTGATGTAAATCATTTTTCTGATTGGAAACACTAGCGGGCAAGTGAGAGTCAGTCAGCCTGTGTATGGTTACAACTCCCCACTACCACCACCCCTCCAGGGTGTGTATCCATGCTCACTTTCTTCATATTGCTGTGGCGCATTTGTCAACTCTGGCCTTAATCAATATGTAATAATGGTGGCAGACAGCCCGGAACTGGTCCCCATTATAAAGAGATGGGATGTGGAACACGCCGTATGACAATATGTCCCCTCTCACCCGCTGATATTGATCCGTGCTGTGTGGCTGTGCTTTGTTGTCCAACAGTGATTATGGATATGAGCGCCGTGGAGACGGGAACTGCCGGCCTGCTTTCTGGTTCAACCCCTCCACCGTATCCAGGAGCTGCAGCCAGGGTCAGAACTACTTCAACAGCACCGGGTGAGGACTGTTTGATCTATGCATAATGTAACATACATTCATTATCAGCACGATACACATCTGTTTGCGAAGCAGGGTTTTAAAGCCGATACCGTTACAGATTAGAATTGGAATGCGAGCTCGCAAAAAGCATCTCCTTACAATATGGATTTAACGTGCTGGCTAAAACACATAACAACTATATTCAATCATTGTACAATTACTACATTTAAGAGAGTAATATTCTTAGAGAATAACATTGTCTTACATGCTTTTTGATCATCACACTCTACATGATGCTATATTGCATACCCCCATATGTATTTGCCGAACCCTAGTCTGAATGAATATCAGCCAAAGAGATTGTAAGAGATTTACATGAGGTACCACTTTTATGATTTAAGTGCTTTGACCTTAACATCCACAATTTATATAATTTGCAGCATTTTGTAATAAACAACAGTTAATACATTTCCACATATTTTTTAATACATGTACACTTACATTATGTGACCAGCTCTATGGTAATCAGTAGGATTTCTCAATGGCGCATTCTGACACATGCATTTATGTCAAAAACTTTTATGTGTTATGGTCATTGTGGGTTGGATTTTCAACGACTGTTAGCTTTCAGAATATAATTATTTATGTTATCGTCTCCTCCAATCACCGCTGCTCCCACTCATAGCTAATCCAATGGTCTTGTGGGGGTGGGGGAGGGTAACGGTTACACCATTTATGAAAATGTAAAAAAACATACATTATTTCATGTTCGATCAAAATGAATGTATTCATCTGTACATGTGGTATTTTTTTTAAATAAGGCTTAATTATAGAACTCCCACATATTATATTAGACCTCTAGGACCTGTGCCCCTGGCATAAGAGGAGTCTCTTATTAAAGGAGTATCAAGACCATATTACAAATATTTACATCATCTTCAAAGTTATAGGTCTAGTGATTACATAATGTGGTTATATTACACAATAATGTAGTAAAAATGTACCGTAATTTTCGGACTATAAGGCGCACCTGAATATAAGCCGCAGCAGCTAAATTGAATGATGTGTACATATATAAACCGCACTGGAATATAAGCCACAAGTGTTTTAATGTTTAATTACCATATCAGGGCTCGACATTAAGGACTGCCCGATGGCCCGGGGCCATCTAGTATTTAGCTCGGGCAATGAAGCCTCTCCTGCTGGTTGCCCGATCGGGCAATCTATTATACCAGTATCATGCAGCTCGCGGATCCAGTAATGAGTGACCCGACAGTAAAACTAAACATATCTATAACTAGTTTAGGTAGTTTGAGAGGTCATTAAAATAGCTACGAGTGATATTCTAACCTGAAGTGTGTGTTTTGTCCGCTCACCGCTGCATGTGATCATGCAGAGCTGCGTGTCGACTCGTCAGCAGCAGCTGATCTCTCTCTCCCATCAGATTAGACTTCACTCGCGGTTATGTCCATATCGATCAGATCCAGCTAGTTCTAGCTAATGATATGACTACCTGCTTATTAAAAGACACATAAACAATAAGTGTCGCTATGCAACTGGGTGAGGCCACAAAGTAGAGCGCAGCATTATGCATTTGTTTACATGCACACCGGAACCCCGAGGCATTACCAACAGATCAACGCACAATCAACCCAGACAGGACATCTCTTTCTCCACATTACGTGTTAGACATTAGAATTGACTATTATTGTCTGTCACATACTCTTCTTGTCTGTCACATAATTATGTGACAGACAAGAAGAGTATGTGACAGACAATAATAGTCAATTCTAATGTCTAACACGTAATGTGGAGAAAGAGATGTCCTGTCTGGGTTGATTGT